TAAACATCTACCAGATTACACGGCGCAACAATCCATAAGGCAAGCCATCTTCATAATCGTCGTAGTGACAACCAGAAACCTCACACTGTGTACAGAAACGTAATTTCTTATATCCACTGAACGGCTAATTGAAGAAATCAACTTTCCTGAATTCAGTTCAGAAAAATACCAGGCATTCTGCGTCACCAGAATTCGACATCGATCCAACACACATTTACAAAACTTACATCTATGAAATCGGTAATAACATGTAATTACAAAAATGAATAAAGGGAACGCCTCTCAGTAACAACAATAAACTTCAAATTTACACCATTAAGGTTATTTTTATCGCATGCGTCTACAAGCCACCGGAACCAAGACGTCCATCAGACAGCGCAAAACTGCACGCGCTGACATCCAAGAAACATTATTTCAGTTCCTCGTACTAGCTTTTCAAAATCCTCAATTATTCTTCTAAACGCGACTCGACAAATCTGCATAAAGAAATTACATTTATCCACAATCTTCAAGTTTACAACTGGATAAAGAACCAAAGACGACAGTACAGACGAAACTCAATTACAACGGTGTATGCGTACACAATCACAATGCGGTAATGTAAGCAGTTCTTACTGTTAATTAATTATCCTCTTCCTTTTGTGGTCATTAACCTTGCTACTAATCTATATGGAGTATCTACTTCACACAAGAACACACAGAAGTGGGTCACCTCTAGCTTTTGGTTCAGTCATCATGCAAAATGACACAGAAACATTCTTCGCATGGGAATCTGAAATATGTAAGTGTGGCTGAAGTCAACGTAAGTTAATTCACAAACGAGGCCTATCACTCATCCAATACACCAAACAGGATAACTACGAAAAACGTATAATACACAGTTTTCTTCCTATTTTTTGTCTACGATTGGAATGAAATGGCGATGCCTGGCTGTTGCATAAAGAATACATCTTACATCTAGTACGTGAAATAAAAATGTCCCAACTCAATCATTCGTATTGTTTCCACCTTCGTTTCTGTTGTTAATAATTCAATGCTAAGCCATCAGACACAACTTTATTACGTTTACGTACAGTTTAAATGTTGCCCATCGTCGTGCATGTTTTGGGCATGGCTGACCATTATCAGGGTTCCAACTACACCGTCAATTAACTATGGCGTTCACATAAAAATTACTCATCTTACGTATTACTTCCAAAACGTGAATATTAAGTTATGCTGAAAAACGGTACTCATGAGTTCAGACAGCGAAAATGTTTGAGAAAACAACGCAAACCTTATATTTTATTTAAAATCCGACGGCCATCCATTCAGAACAATACCACGTAACAAGATACGTTTTAAAATAAGATTCGATATGAACGTGGAATGCCTTATTTAAAGTATTATTGCCAAGTTAGCACAAGAGAACTCGATGCAGTACATACGCTCGCCACAAATTATTTACATTTGAAATCATTGGAAGCTGCGCTCTGGGGTAAAAAGAAGGACTGGAATGCTGTTAGGACGGTTTTCTTATAACAAAAGTATCGCATGAACGAACGTCGATATAGAACTTGTGCAAAAAAAACAGCAAATTATCCATGACTGTCATTCGCTGAAACGAGGGGCGATACATTCATGAATAATTCTGAACGGTTAAATTTAATAATGGCTGCCGTGCGAACACACCGGCAGGTCTGAGCGCGTTCCCTATAATGAAAGAACTTATTATTTTACAGAGTAATTCTGTTCAAGTGCTATTTATGCAATCAGGTTATCGCACTTCCAATTCAGCGCTTAAAATGACCGTATTCCGAATCCAGCTACCTGGAAACTCCCATCACCCCAAAAAGTCGATGGCTTGGCCCATTTTTTTTCGTATTCATTGTTCTTAAGTTAATTGTTTGTATATTGTTCAAAATTATAATTAAAATGCTTTTATAAGGCCCAATTTTTTGCTGAGAACATTAGACAACGAATAAATAAATCATTTTCATTCGCAGAATGGCGTACATCGTCAAAGGTACGTCGGTTTCGTAAACCTATCGACACGGCTTCACCTCTGGGCGTTAACATACGGGCTGTTTTAATACTGATCTCGGATGCATGCCACTCTAATTTCCTCTGAGCTTGAATCGTTCATAAGAGTGTGCATTCTGCAACAAGAAATTACCTCGTCTGTTTATCACAACTTAACAGCGTAACATAAGAATCAAAAGGTTTAATCTTACCAATATCAAAGCCAGTCACTGGAACAACCCTAAGCCAGTTTCATCCATCTTCAACCATAAAAACCAAAGATATATTTCAATATTAACTACCCGCCTCCTTCTAAATCTGTTATGTGGACGTTTTTCCAAGAGCTTTTTTTCACGCATTCCTGATCTCCATTCCAGCCACATACCCACAACATCACAAAATTCCAATTACCCTTGCAACGTCGGTCAATATCCACCAAACTACACGGTGTTACATGCCAGGAGGCAGCCATCTTCAAAACTTACGACACTTTACGTACGTTATCATGCACCTCCCTGTAGAAGCAGGCAAATGGAGACGAAACAGACGTTTCTCCCACATAACGTAAGATAATTGCACAATGCCATCACATGCCCACAATTTAACTCGATGCTTTTCCCCTGAAGTTATGTTTTGTTCTGTTTATGAAACTGTCGGTCTTTTACATCACGATAAAAATGGCTAACGGCAGTCTGCTGTTAGCGCGAGTAATATGAGGAATATGGTAGTCATACATTTCAAGCAACATCCTCCTACCCGCATTCACTAAAATTGACGGAAACATGTGATGTACTATTTCCTCTTCTGTGGCGACGACATGTTTCTTGATGAACTACCATTCCATATAAGATATCATTTTCATCTATGTACTCACTATCTTTAATTGCAATTCATGTTCCCGAAAGGATGAATTTCCATAGGGCAATGTGGTCGTTTCAGAACACCGTATCGCTCAAAAAGCGCACGCAAATTTTCATGGCCAGGGGTGCAGGGTGTCTGACTGTAAGTATTCTAGCTGTCAGTACCTTGACAGTCAATATGGGATGACACTGAGGATTCTAACAGGAAATTTGCAAACTTGACGTATTTCCTGTAGAAAATAGAAAACGATTATCTGTTCTGGAAAATCCCCGTATTATCCGGTTCGTTTACAAGGAACCTGAACTACGTATAGATAAAGAGTGAGAAAAGGGTTCCGAAGAGAATATTTGGACTAAGCGTAATAAAGCGAAGAAGTTGGACAATGAGGAAGTCCATTTTTTAGAAGTAATCAAATATCAGCAGCATGATCAAAATAAGGACGATGAGATGCGTTTGGCAAGTAACACGCAGCTCAGGAGTGTGTACAATCCTTCGGTTGAAAAACCTGAAGGTAAGAGATCATTCCGAAGACCTAGGCATAGTCTGGAGTATACTAATCTGTCAAAATACATTAAAATATGTGGGAGGACGCAGGATGGGTTCATCTGGCGGACTTTTGTGAACATGGTAATGAATCTTTGGGTTCTGTGAGAGGCGGAAAATTTCTGGACTGACCGAGTGACCGTCAGCTTCTCAAGAAACTGTTTCCATTGGAGTTAGTTATTAAGTGCTTCGTAGATTTTGATATAAAGTTTCGTGGAAACTATTGGGAAGATGAAAAGGTAAAGTTGTCCTGCTGGAGCGCCAGGAATGGGTCAGTTGGGGGGTAGAACCCTGTGCATTCTTATTTTCCGCACTAGGATGTCAGCAGTCAGCTCCACGTTCAACTCGCTTGAACTTGGAAAAAGAACGAAATTCGGCAATGGACTACTACCTCTACTTAATGGCTGGTCCAAAATGTAAAATAATTCATAATGTCGGAGCAAAATCCCCATTTCCAGTTCTTTTGATAGCAATAACATTCCAGTGAGGCGAGTGAAACTGGATTATGCTCACATATCAAAGAAATTCGTAAGAAACACTCCCTTTTTGGGATTTGAGGTTCTCACAGTAGTGACATATCGACTGTGATCTTCTGGGCTGTAACCCGTGTCGTCTTGTAGGTGCCTGGTCATATAATCCTGAAGATGAAGGCGGTATGTTCCTCCGATCACCTTCAAGACGCACAACCGAGAACACAACCATTGACAAATATTCCAATGTACGTTAAAAACTGAGCTTATATCTCGAAATTTTATGCAAAACAAATATACATCAACGGAAAGTATGCAAGAAGTTAAGGAAGATCATAAATCAGAGATGAATATGGAACGCTGGCCTTGCTCAACTGGTGGAAACATCCAAAGCAAAGTAGTCAGCTTACGTCTCCAGAACTTCTAGTTTGCATGTCATACAGATCAAGAGTAGTTATGAAAAGTTCTTTTAAGGACAGAGGTCAACAGGGTTAAGGTCCAGAAATATCCAGTGTCAAACTTTCTCCTTAAGACTGCACTCAATGCAGTTGAAATAAAGACCGATAAAACTTCTATCCGCGGACATGTGTGTGTGCGTTTACTTTCTTTTTCGTAAATTTTGTCAAAATCACCCAACTTAGCCGGACAGAAGATTAAGATATAGCCAATTCTCAAAGAAAGAAGCCTTGCTAAGTCTTAATTCTTATTGGACTCCACGCTCACTCTT